AGTATTTGATGTATGTGGAGGAGCAGCCTTTAGGGTCTGCGGGGCAGGAGGCTTTGGGTTTACAGGGCAGGAGGCAGATATCACTATGGCTGTTGGATCTGGAGGCGAGGAGAAAGACCTCCATAGAGAAGAGGGAGCATCAGTGGAGCCGGTGGGGAACACAAATTTCCCAGCTAGAAATGGTGGTTAGTTTAATATCGCACATTTGATATATATATATATAGATATATATAATATAATATATATATATATATATATATATATATATATATATAAAATATATAATAAACTGATATTACAGAATAATAATACAATGTTGATGATGATAGACAAGGGCATGACCCTGATGAAACTATCTTGAATTTTAAGCTGTGTCTTAAAAAGCATGAAACAAGACAAGAACATCATATCTTTTGATCCGACAAAAGATAATGAACTTAATAATTTTTGCCAGTCAAAAGTATCGGAGAATTAAAGTCGCTAGAGGAGCGGCTTAAAACCGATTTTAAATTATGCACAGAATTTGTAAGTGTTATACTTACTATAAATGCCTACTTCTTATGTCCATATTATTGCTTATATTAATTTAATGTTAATGATTATTTCAGAAATACCCTTATATTGAGACCAGGGGGAGACCCTGCTAAACGCATAATTAGTTTTTGTAGGAAAACTTTTACCAATGAAGTTGGCATGAAGTGTTCATGGTTTGGCTATAAAAATAATATGCCACTTCATGAAACAAGAATAATTGTATTACTTAGAGGTAAGTAATTACCTTTCTCTATATATATCATCATGATCATTATAATAACTTATATTTGAAACAAATGTTCTATTTGAGATCTACCCCAAAGTATCATAGGAAGTTTTGAAACATTATGTATCTACTGGTTAAGATATGCCCGCCAAAGATATGAGAGGTCTTTACTACCGCGAAGAAAAAATATTTTATTAGATGTATAAAACATTTAAATATATATATATATATATATATATATATCTATATATATATAATATATACAAAATTATTAATCTACTCGTTATATTGCATTACAGATTTTATTATTTTTCAGGTGTAACATTATCAGGTGTATGTTTTGATCATTATTCGTCACATGTTTCATAAATTTATCATATTCGATATTACTCCATGTACTAAATTGTTCAATATTACTCGATGTAAATCTAAATATCACTATTAATAATTAAGTTCTTTGTAAATTTATAACTAAATTCATAAATTGATATGGAAACTTTGTAAACAAAACAGAATTAAATAAAATAAAATTAAATTTATAACGATATTACATAAATATTTATTTTCTGAATAAATGGACTATTAGCCAATTAAATATTCTAAAGAATTAATTTATGCATGCACGGCTCCAGAAAAGAATATTGGATTAATGTACACAATTACGTTGTTTTCATGTTTTAGCAACATCAGTTCAATATGCGATTAAACGTGTTACAAAAATCGCAAATGTCGCGAAAAAAATCGCAAATGTAACATCACTTGGCGCTCGTTTAACGTTCTATGCAACAAAAACGACTTCGGCGTGGCGATATCTCACATCACAGGCGCGATGTTGTATCCATATTGTTTAGATGTAATTTTGTTTACTGGGTATGAATGATCTCATTGTATGCATAAACAAAATGAAGCCTGAAAAACCTTATTTCACATTTCGAACACATGCATCGGATATAGGAATATATGTTGAACACAATTTTCGGAGAAGAAGTGCAGATACAAACCACAACAAAGCCATAGCTTTCTTACATTGAACAATATAACTAACAATATAATAATTTGTTAATGATTAATTTTTGTTTATATGAATCAGTAGTATATTTAGTTACATATGATTTAGAAATTCTTTCCTCGTGGTTATTCCACGAAGAAGGTCAAGATTTTACATATTTTCCTAAGCCATTCGAATACAAGAAAACGCGTAAATGGGCTCGAGAATTTAAAAAGTCCATCCAAAAATTGGAAACACTATCCAGTTATCATGGTGGGTTATGCAAGTAAATAGTTACCTATTTTTTTAAATATTGGTTTTAATATGACTTCGATGTACAGTAATTTTAAATATATTTTCAAAAGATAATTTAAAACAAGGACGCCACCGAGTACGTAAATATTGTTCGACTTTGAAAGTAGAGTGGACCGAAGATGAAATAAGTGTTTCCAACAATATAGTTGAAATATTTGATGAGAGCAATATTTAAAAAGCTTTTCAAAACATACCAACAATGAACAAAAGAGGTAACTATAATCGAGTATTATTATATAATAATTTTGTAACTATATGATTCCATCTAAATTACAGAGATAAATACTATTACGAATATTAAAAGTCGATCGGACGGTTCATCGAAATGAGGAAACAGGTAAATAAGAAATATTGCCTAACAATTCTCTTCATATCGCATTAAATTCATTTGTTTGTAGATAAAATAGAAAAATATATAGATGAGAAGATGGACCAATTCTACAAAAAGCTTGAGAATAAATTAGAATTATGGTGTAAATATATAGTAAATCAAACAAATAAAAATGACGATTAGAATAGAGCTCGATGAACACCTTTTTGAACAATAGAATGTCATTGAAAAAGTATGAGGAATTCTTAGCTTTTGATGAGTTTGCGATTCTATTCACAAAATTAAACAGGATTAATTATAAGAGCCAGATTACTCCACTTGGATGAAAGCTGCTTGGGAGGGGTCTCAGAAAGAAGACGAGTGACTCGGTGCTTGCCCTCGAAGCAAGAATTGAGGCTATGAAAAGTAATGATTGTATTACATTATACTTATTTACTTTGTCCATCTTGCAAATTAAATTTTTATTGCTTTTATTGCAGCACCGAAAGAAGAGAAGAGCAGAAAAGAGACTGCGAGAACAAAATGAAGAGATAGAGCCAATGACAAAATGAAATGTAATAATAATGATTTTAGCCTTTTTTAACTATAAATAATTTTTAAATTGTTTTTTATTATAGCTCCTCTAAGCAATAGGAAGAAGGAGGCGTTTCTAAATATAGAAATAGCTGAGGAAGATGTTAGTTCTGCCAAACGTAATTTAATACTTAAGCTTAGATACTCATGTTAGTATATTAAGTATGTTGATTGTAATAACAATTTTATTACAGAAAGAAGCTCTCTTCTGGAACTTTCTTTGAGAGGTGGAGTAGACACCAGAATAATAACTGGAGAGATTGGGCCAATTAAAAGTAATGATAATGACTTTAGATTTTATTAAGTATAAATATTTGTCAAATTTAATAGTAATTATTTTATCATAGCTTGTTTGAAGTTTTGTGGGAGCAGAACATGTTCAGAAGCGTGTTGGTGCTACAAAAGTAATTTAGTACTTAAGTTTGTTCTCATGTTAGTAAATTAAATATGTTGATTGTAATTATAACAATTTTATTACAGAAATAATGTATTTTATGGTGGATGCCTTTTACACTCTTCCAGATAAGTTATCATAATTTTCAATACAATATACATATTCTAATTTATTTCTTTTTAGCCTCTGTTGATCATAACTAAAAAGGATGATCATTATAAATCAGAGACCTAGGCAAGGCTTCGACACAGGCATCTTCCCTCAAAAAGAAAACAAATATATTTGATAAAAATTTTCCTTTGAGGACTGTCGAAGATGTCAAAGCCTTGGAAGAAAACCTAGGTGGAGAAAAATCAGAAGAGTTTAAAATTGATCTGGTACAAAATATATGAAATTATTTAATAAAATGCAATTACATTTAATCAAAGCATGTTTTTAATTTGCAGACCGAGTTTGTTATCAGAATTGGTGGGCGTGATCCCAAAGATCATATTGGGAACACATTGAGCAAAATGTTTACGGATAACCTAGCCATGAAATATTCATGGCTAAGTCGCAAGCAAACTTGCCCATGTACAACATCAAAATGATCGACATAATCAAAGGTAATAAATGCATTATAACAGCTTATATATTGTATGTATATTGAAATGTAGTGTATTTATGATTTAATTGTTAAAGGTGTATTTGTGACCAAATACTGCTTTGGCGGAAAGTGAATTTGATAAAATAACCAGTGAGTGGCTGCGGTTCGCCAGGCAGAGGCACGAGAGAGCTCTGAAAAAACTAAACTCAATGAATTTAAATCAAGATAAAAACATACTTGAAATATAATTTATAACTTTTTTATTTTATATTTTTATTTTATTTTTGTGAAATAAATTTTGTTGCTTGAAATATTTGTTGCTATATTTATTATAAAATAAGTCACTGTTGTGTTTAGTACAAAATATTTGTTACTGTTCTGTTTAGTACAAAATATTTGTTGCTATTTGTTATAAAATACTTGTTACTGTTTTATTTAGTTCAAAATATTTGTAGCGATTTGTTTGTAATAAAATACTTATAAGTATTATAATAATATTATTATTATACAAAAAGCAACAAATATTTTGAACTAAACAAAACAGTAATAAGTATTTTATAACAAATAGCAACAAATATTTTGATTCGATCGATAGACGTTGATGAGTGAACATCAATATATAAAATAATAAAATATGTGGTTTCTCGTCTTTGACGGATGACAGTTCCTTCAGCGCAGCCATCTATATATAAAAGAGGATCGCCTTATGTGCTACCACTTATAACTCACGAACGGCTGAACCGATTTAGATGAAAATTGGCAGGGAGGTAGTTTAGAGTCAGGAGAAGGACATAGGATACTTTTTATCCCTTTATTTCATTCTAATTGAAAATTAATTATTTATAAACTATCCATGTAGTTTATTCAATCTATGATACTATCAATGATTTCATCCATGACATTTGCATTCGATTGTCAAATGTCATTCGGGTTTCTAACCTCTATTACCTCATGTTGAATATTAGTTAGTGAATGAATATTAGTTCTTGGTTTTATATATATATATATATATATATATATATATATATATATATATAAATAAGGTGAAGTGAAGTTTCATTAATAATGCCGCGACCAAGACGATCGAATCTTTCCCGACAAAGCAGTAATGCAAGAAGACTGCAAAATACTGTAAATGCAAGAACTGAAGAACAAGAAAGAATTGCACGTGAACAGCAACGCGAAAGAATGGCTCGACTTCGTGCTCGAGGTAACAACATAGATCAACAAATAGTTAACTTGCGATGCAGAAGAAGAAATTTGAATCGAGAAGCATTTCAATACGATTGCAGCTATGATTATAGCTTGCATCCTAGCGTCTGCATTGGCAAAATGGACGTAGTTTGCAAGTATTGTGGTGCATTGAAGTTTTCCCAAGAAACGCCTGGATTATGCTGCCTTAATGGTAAAGTCAAATTGCCATCGTTGACTCCGCCACCTGAACCATTGTATTCATTGCTTTGTGGCGAAACACAAGAATCACGCCACTTTCTTGCTAATACTCAAAAATACAATGGTTGTTTCCAAATGACGTCATTTGGAGCAGATATTATCGAAGAACGAGGATTTAATCCGACATTTAAGGTACTTATTTTTGTACCTATATAGAATGTAGTTAAAGAATAACTTACTTCATCTATTAGCAAATTCTTAACTTTTTCTCCCACCGAAAAAAGATTTTATAACACAGTTAATACTGTCGGGTTTTTATTTTGTAGATACAAGGACAAATTCATCATCGAATTGGATCATTACTACCTTTTGAAGATACACAGAATAAATTTTTACAAATATATTTCATGGGCAACAGGGAAGAACAACTTGATCGACGACTAGAGATCAATGCAGGAATGAAGCGAGCAATTCTTCAAGACTTACAGTGTCTGCTTCATGAACATCATGCGTTGGTCTGGTTGTTTAAGAGTGCTTTAGAGCTCATGCCAAGCGATGACTATAAAGTTGTCATCAGAGCAGATAAACGACCATCTGGAACACACGAAAGGACATTTAATGCTCCAATAGTAGACGAAGTTGCCATCCTGATTGTTGGTGAACAATTGGAAAAACGCGATATTGTGCTTTCACGTCGCGACACTGGGCAACTGCAACAAATATCTGAAACACATCGATCATATGACTCATTGCAATACCCGCTGATGTTTTGGCAAGGAGAAGATGGATATTATTTTAATATTAAAATGAAAAATCCATTGAATGGTGAGAATCAGTATCATAATTTATTTCATTTATTTGTGAAAGACTCCGCTTTAAAATAAAGCTTTTTTAAAAAATAATCAATGTCTGTATTGTTTGCCTTTAAAATTTGCCTATAAAATGAATAATTTTCAAATTTTAAATTTCAGGCGAAGAAACTACAAAGAATGTTAGCTCAATGAATTATTACGCATATCGTTTGATGATTCGTCATAATGCTGACAACTATTTGCTGCGGTTTCGTCGATTGTTTCAGCAATATTGCGTTGACATGTATGTAAAAATAGAAACGGAACGCTTAAATTTCATTAGGTTCAACCAAGCCAAACTGCGTTCTGAGGAGTACATCCATTTACGTGATGCAGTTAGTACTGAAGGAAATGCAGCTAATATTGGCCGATTAACTATTCTGCCGGCGACATACATTGGTAGCCCACGACATATGCATGAATATGCACAAGATGCAATGACATATGTTCGTCATTACGGTCGACCAGATCTTTTCATAACTTTTACCTGCAACCCAAAATGGATAGAAATTACTGAATTGCTGCTTCCCGGACAAACATCAAGTGATAGGCACGACATTACAGCACGTATATTCAGGCAAAAAATTCGGTCCCTGATAAACTTTATTGTTAAAGAGCGCGTCTTTGGAGAAACTCGATGCTGGATGTATTCAATCGAATGGCAAAAGCGAGGCTTGCCACACGCACACATTCTTATTTGGTTAGTGGAAAGAATTCAGCCTGACCAAATAGATGATATCATATGTGCCGAGATTCCTGATTATGAAGTCGATCCAGACCTACATGATGTTGTTACTTCTAATATGATTCATGGACCGTGTGGTGCCATCAATCCCCAATCACCTTGCATGGTCGATGGAAAGTGCTCTAAACGATATCCACGGAAATTAACAGCGGAGACTGTCACTGGCAATGATGGTTATCCGCTGTATCGTCGTCGATCACCAGATGACAACGGTCAAACTGTCACAACGAAAGTGAAAAGAATGGATTTCGTTGTTGACAACAGTTGGATTGTTCCATATTCGCCACTCATTTCTAAAACGTTCAAGACGCATTGCAACATTGAATACTGTAATTCAGTTAAGTCCATCAAATATATTTGCAAATATGTCACGAAAGGCAGTGATATGGCTGTTTTTGGATTGCAATCCTCGAATGACAACGATGAAATTTCACGCTATCAAGTTGGTCGTTATGTGAACTGTAATGAAGCGATTTGGCGTATATTCGCATTTCCCATTCACGAACGTCATCCTACTGTTATGCATTTGGCGGTGCATCTGGAGAATGGTCAACGAGTATATTTTACGGCTTCAAATGCTATGCAACGTGCTGAAACACCTCCAGCAACTACATTAACCAGTTTTTTTGCAATTTGTCAAAGAGATCAGTTTGCACAAACTTTGCTTTACTCGGAGATGCCACGTTATTATACTTGGAATGCTTTATCGAAGAATTTTCAAAGACGGAAGAAAGGCAATGCGGTTCCTGGGTATCCAGATGTGCGTTCTACTGAAGCTCTTGGTCGAATGTATACAGTTCATCCAAAGAATATTGAATGTTTTATTTGCGGCTGTTGCTGGTAAATGTGCGTGGGCCAACGTCATTTGAGTCACTACGAACTGTTAATCATGTAATATTTCCAACATATCATGCTGCATGTGAGGAATTGAAATTATTAGAAAACGATAGTCATTGGGATACGACAATCGCTGAAGCCATTATCTCTGCATCTCCAAGCCAGATACGCACATTATTCGCTATAATTATTTCGACATGTTTTCCATCAAATCCATGTAACCTGTGGCACAAATACAAGGACAATATGTCAGAAGATATTTTACATCAAATTCGTGTTAGTTCTAGAAATTTCGATATTGAGATGAATGAGGAAGTACACAATCGTGCTTTACTCTTGATCGAAGATATCTGTTACCTCATGTGCGGTAATTTATTAATCAGGTTAGGCATGCCAGCACCATGTCGTGAAATGAATGACACATTTAAACGAGAATTGGAACGGGAACGTGAATATGACCACCAGGAATTAGATTTAGTAGTTCAAACAAATGTTCCCCTGTTGAATTGCCAACAAAAGGAAGTTTATGATACTTTAATGAAGGCAATCGATGATGAAAATGGTGGTTTATATTTTCTAGATGCTCCTGGTGGAACTGGCAAGACATTCCTCATGTCATTAGTTTTAGCAAGTGTTCGGGCGAGATCAAACATAGCGGTTGCAGTTGCTTCTTCTGGAATAGCAGCCACATTGTTAGAAGGATGCCGTACGGCTCATTCTGCATTCAAATTACCGTTAAATCTTCAAACTATTGAAGAACCAACGTGTAATATTGCAAAAACTCAGCAATGGCCAAAGTTTTAGCGGTATCGAAAATCATCATCTGGGACGAATGCACAATGGCGCATAAACGTGCATTAGAAGCACTTAACCGAACATTAAAAGATTTACGCAATGACTCAAGATGTTTCGGAGGAGCAATGATTTTACTGTCTGGCGATTTCCGCCAAATACTGCCAGTAATTCCAAGATCTACAGCTGCCGACGAAATAAACGCTTGCCTCAAATCGTCAAATCTATGCGCTATGTGAAGAAACTGCAACTGACAACAAACATGAGAGTTACATTGCTTAATGATACATCTGCTGAAGTTTTCTCGAAGCAATTGCTGAGTATCGGTAATGGTCAAGTACCTGTCGATGAATCGAGCGGATTAATATCATTTTCAAACAATTTTTGTAATTTTGTCTCATCAAAAGACGAACTTATCAACAATGTATTTCCAGAAATTGTTTCTAATAGCAAAAATAATGAATGGTTGCGTGAGCGGGCAATTTTAGCAGCAAAGAATAAAGATGTAGATGACCTAAACCACATAATTCAAAATAAAATAATTGGAACAATGCTTTCATTCAAATCTATTGATTGCGTCACAAATGAAGATGAAGCCACCAACTATCCAATTGAATTTTTAAATTCTTTGGACGTGCCTGGCTTACCACCGCACAATTTACTCCTAAAGGTTGGCTCCGTAGTAATAATGCTTAGGAACATAAACCAACCAAAACTGTGCAACGGTACGCGTTTGGTGGTTACAAAATTGATGAACAATGTAATTTACGCTACCATAATGATAGGAAAATTTAAAGGTGAGGAAGTTCTCATTCCGAGAATACCGATGATCCCAACCGATCTGCCGTTTGAATTCAAAAGAATTCAATTTCCAATACGTCTCGCATTTGCCATGACCATCAACAAATCACAAGGGCAATCCTTAAAAGTTTGTGGTTTGAATTTGGAACATTCATGTTTTTCCCATGGTCAACTATATGTGGCATGTTCACGGGTCGGAAAACCATCTGCGTTGTTTGTTTTTGCGCCTGATAACAAAACAAAAAATGTTGTGTATAAGAAGGTACTTCAATCAAGAGGCACTAAAATGAATAAATCATTATGAATGATTAATGTTGCTATTTTATTTCTATTTTTATTTTTTCCATTAAAAAAAAAGCTTATTTATTGCCATTATGGCGGAACAAGTTCGCCGGGTCAGCTAGTAGTTTAAATAAATTAAATCTCATGTAACTTATGCATGGTTAATTCCATATATGGTTTCCCGCATTAGCAGAAGACAGTGCCTCCAGCCCAGCCATATGTTTAATAAATAAACTAATTTGTGTGATCAGAGTGAAAGTGAAATAAAAGTGAAAAGTGAAGTGAATAAGTGTGATTTTGCGATGATCAACTGAAATACTCAACCACAGGATTTTAGTATATTATCACAAAATGGGGTGCACTAAAAAGTACCAATTCGATGAGAGAATTTACACTATTGAAGAACTTCGGCAAATGCTAAATTCTAACATCGACGACATAACCGGAGTGAAACTTTCAAACAGATTTGAACCACTATCAAGCACAGACATGGATACGGAACCCGATTAGTTGATGCAACCTAAAATAAAATGTGTTAAATGTAAAAAAGACCACGAACCAGAAAAATGCAGCAAGCCAAAAGAAGAAAAACCACAATGTGTAAACTGCGAGAATCTGCACCCCGCAAACTACAGAAAATGCCCCTTTCTAATTGAATTCAGAAACAAGATACGAAACAAACTTGCTAATCAAAACAAAATGGCTGACGCACGTCCTCCGCCGAAACAAACCAAATCTTATAACGAACTATTAAAGAGACGACGAATAAAAACAATACTATTGAAGAACAACAAGAAAACTCATCGTCCACAAAAAACGACATTTTTAATACCATGAAACAAATTCAGAATTTACTTACAAAATTCGACTTAAGTGAAATAATTAGCATTATTCAAAAGTTTTTACCAAAATTTATGAACGCCAAAAAATATTACTGACTTTATAATAATAGGTATAGAATTCTTCAACACAACATTTAAATAAATGGCTAAGATACACGCATGATGTTCTTACTCATAAAAACTGAGGACTAACAAAAGATTACTCCCAAATTTCTAAACTTCAGAAGTTTGAGAAATATAAACAAATCGAAAATATTAGAAATGGTTTTATGAATCAGGAATATATAGTAAAAATGAATAATAGAAGACAGTAATACCACGTATTACAAATGTAATACATATTGTCAAGGCATACTACGGATAAATAATAACCGTGATGTTGCAACAACATTCTATAAAAATCCCTGCCAAAATCCCCGCTGTGACAATAAACCAATGTGGTGTAGATGTTAAAAATATATCACGAGATTGATATCACCTTATGATAATAAACTATCATTGTGGCGACATTCGTTTAAAATTGCAATCGTGACATGCCGATCAACTGTCTTCGTATTTTTTTTTTATTTATTTGAATAAAAATATAAATTTTATACATCTCAGGCAGACTGAAATGTCTGGTATGAGAGATCGTACTAATATTTATACAATATATATATGTATATATATATATATATATATATATATATATATATATGTATATGTATAATGTATAATGTAAAAATGTTCAGTTTTCAATCGTAATACACACATATGTATAAAAAACACACAAATATATATGTATATGATATTACAACTAGTTGAAAACGAAACTTCGTTCGTTCATAAAATACTGAACTTTCCCTAGACGCTACTAGTGCTACATAGTAACGTCTTTTTTGCTAAGCTTTTCTGCACTTTATTTAAACATTTTGGAAAAAATTTCTTCTTAACCTCTCTTTCTATCTGATACCGCCTACTAGGAGTTAAATCCAAGAAACGCTTACGTCCTTCGCGTGATTTCTTCGTAGGCGCCATTTTAATAGATAAACGAAATTAAACTATACTTAAGTATTAACCTTTCAAGCAAGAGCCAATATCGCGAAAAAAAAACATTTGCAAAAATCTATTTCATTTATTCATGGCGGTATTGCCAAAGGCATATTAAATAAATATTAAAAAAGTATTGCCAAAAGTGTGCTTATGAATTGCTGCTTAAACTACATGATGGTGGGATGTTAGAATATGGTTAGAATAGAATACACAAAAACTATATATTTAATATAAAATATAATAATAAAATTATAATTTTGATAATATATTTTCAGTTATGTATATCTCTAATTGTATTTGCTAAATTGTATTTAATATCATGTTATTAAAATGAAAATCTGTATGAAGTGAAGTTTACAAAGTCATGCTCGTTGTAAGATGGTAACAGTGGATTTTACAAATCTTGTATTTCTTATGCCTATGGTGGCAAGACTTCTAAGAAAAGCAAAGCGTGCTTTTTAGGTTAATAATGGTGCGTCTAGTAAATAAGAATAATTTTTTGTTCATTTTCTGGTTATCATTGAAGCAGTGCAGAACAAGAGAAGATAAAATGGCCCCGTAAGTATATTCTGTAATCACAAATATAATTTGTTATTTATTGTTTTGTTAGAGCACTACGTGCTATTTGAAGGTTATCCGAAGTTCTTCCGGCCTTGCTGTTAGATTTTGGAATCACATTTTGTTTACAATTATTTAGTATATAAGAAGTAGTTAAGATTTAGTTAGCAGTCAGAAATCAGAAGTCAGGTGTCAAGTCAGGCTTACTGTTTAGATACTTAAAAAATGTAGTCTCTGATCATCGATAACCAAAAGGTTATCGAACAAATTATTTAATTGTAAAAATAGTAAACAATAAAAATATCAAGATCAACCAAGAACAAGTGTTTCTATATTATCATCCGCTCTGCTACAGCAACCAAATAACCTCCCATAATCACAGGAGTGATCCAAACAACCACACAATTACAGTTCAGTATACATACAATTTATATATTGGGCTTTGCTAATTTATTTACAGCATAATGAAAAGTTTTGCTGTTGTTCGGACGTCTAAGTACACAATGGAGGTTCCTTCCAAATGGTTGATAGTGGAAAATAATGATTCTGAAAATATAACTGAAGTGTGGTGGCCCCCTGTCCGTATGAAATATCGCATTTCGTCTTTAGCTGCGAAGCAAACGCCAGTGAACAAGTCGGAGTGGATTAGAAGAAAAATAACTTTTGTCGGGTTATATGGTGAGAAATAACTTTTAAATATGAAGTATTGAAGTGTAGGAAGCTTTATTAACTTCGATATTTGTTCTAGACACATATATGTCAGCAAGGAAGCACGCCGATGATTCGGAATATGCCTCGCAAAAGGAATTAGGCAAGGGGCATAGGAAAGAAAGGCTGCAGTCATATCTGAATCAGAAAGCGACACCTCTGATGGTGAAGGTAATAAATTACTACATTTTCAAATATATTTTATATAATATTTTTATATTATTATAATGTAAAGATGCAGCTGTAGCAGGGCTGCCTGACTTCGTTGACTGGAAGCTATTGAGGTCCAATTCCGGCCTCAACGTAAGAGGTCAGTTTATAAAAAAATCGTGATCATATAAAATATTATATATTTTTAAACAAATTTGTTCTTAATTCAGCTACTACGGGCGGATGTGTGGCTGAAAAGCTCAATCGCATGGAGTGGCTGAAGCTCCAATGCATGGAGTGGAAGCTGTTCCAAGCAGAGGACAGGAAGCTGCTTGCAATTGCCTTTTTTTTTAAAGAAGTACAGATGCTCAAAGAGCGTTTCTTGATTATTGAATGTGAGTAAATGTGACTCATTGTTTATGATGTTTTCCTAATATCCATTTCTGTTACAGCTCTCCTTAGAGTTGCCTTGCCAGGTATTGACTGCAAAATGGTTAGTATGAATAAAATAATGCAGGATTGGGGCAGACCAAGACAATCTGATTTGGCGGACTTATCAAAAACAAACACTTTTGATCCAATTCTTCCTCTCTCTGGTGTAGAGGACTTACATTCATTGGAGACGAGATTAAAAGATAGTGAAGAATTGTGTTCAGAATATGTAAGTTCTACTGCAAATTTATTAATGATTTCTGTGTGTGAATATGTATGTATGTACTCATGTTTTTATTCATGATTGTTTTAGAAAACATTTATCGCAAGGATTGGTGGGAAGACGGACGAAGTTCATTTGCTTGATGTCCTTAGAAGACTAATGAGAAATAATTTAGCTGTGAGATATTCCTGATATGGGCATAAGGGAAATATTCCATTGCATGAAAAACGTTTAATTACATTATTAGGAAGTGAGCATTCATATTGATATACTAGTTTGAATTTGATTAATTTCTAATATTATTGTTATTATATATAGGTGTTCTGAGAGTTGTTTACCTGAATTCACGGATAGTACATTTAAGAAAATGATATCAAATTGGTTGAGATATGCTCGCCAGAGGAATGCGGCGAGCAAAGCGAAGCCACCAAATGAACAGAATGATTCATGATAGATAAACTGTATATATGTTTATTCTTCTAATAAATTTGTCATATTATGTATTAATATTCTAATTCTTGTGTATTCATTATGTATTAAGTTTTACTGCAATAATACATGCTGCCTTTTTCAGTAATATATAATTATATATATATATATATATATATATATATATATATATATACTAGCTGACCCGACAGACGTTGTTCTGTACCCACGTCTACAATTTTTCAATATTTTATACTAATATTTACTGCATAGTTAAAAATAATAATTACTGTTTTTTGAATTACTATCTACACCAATATATGAGTGATGTTGAATGTAGAACTGCTTCAAATAAATGATTGTTCTCAATTCCCACAGTTAACACTTTAATTATTCATTTAACAAATATTAAAAAAATTCAATAAAATTGTATATTAAAAATTATACACTGCGATTTATAGAACAAATTTATTTCCAATAGCTCAATTTATTTCATTGCATTTAAGGGTTATATAGTATTTTTAGTCATACCTGTAGATGTGGATGTATAAATGAATGATTTTTTGTTTATTCACGACTAAAACATTGATTTTCGATATTTAACACAATAAAAATGATCGTCTGCTTTTGTGATTAATGGTCATAGCA